TGTTGATCTTCTATCTTAACAGTAGTATTCCCAAAGCGGTCTAACTGTGTGTGACTTGGGGGCTGAGGTTTTTCTCCAAGCCAGTCATTCCCATACCTGGGGTCATCTGAAAAGCACTGTACATACCCTGTGATCCCACTCCAGATCTGCTGAATTTGGGTGCTTTCTCTTTAGTTCAGATTGCCTAAGTGATTCTTACGCAGCCAGTCTGGGAGTAATGTTCTCATGGAGCAGTCTAAGGCAAGAAGTGGGTAGGGGTCATGGGCCAGTCCCCTCTGTGCTCCTCAGCTCATTGTCTGGGAATTGAGCCAGAAGAAATGATCTTTAGGTTCCTTCCTTTCCTAAAGTTTTGTGATGTGTAAAAACCCTTACCCTTGGGTATTAGAAAATTATTTATTTTCCCTCATACTTGTAATTGTTTTCGATAATCTTTAAAATTTGTATAAAATATATTTGCTTTGTAAGTGCACATCGATTTAAAGCTCAAATAATATTACAAGACTTAAAAAATAAAATTTTGCCACCCCTCAGAACCCACTTCCCAGACTACCTTCCCCTCTTTGTTGACCTCTAAGTGATAATACTGCCATTTCTAGACGGATCAATGATAGACATTGACTGACTTTATCCTGTGGTAGGTTAGGAGTTGCCTCTTGGAGAGCTTTTTTTTTAACATGCAGCCTAACTAACTTGCACTTCTTCCAAATTAATAATAATGAGGTTTTTTTTTTTTTTTTTTTTTTTTTGCCTTGTTGTATAGCTTGCAGGATCTTGGTTCCCTGACGAGGGATTGAACCCAGGCCATGGCAGTGAAAGGACCGAGTCCTAGCCACAGGACCACAAGGGAATTCCCTAATGACGATTTTTAAAAGCATGTTAGGCTTTACTCTTTGGTTTGGGAATTGTCAGTGCAGACTTGTTATATGAGGTGATGAAGTATTTAAAGCCTTGATAGCTCGTTCATTATTCAGCAGTGTTTTTCTGTTTTTCCTTTTTTCACCTTATCTTTCTGAAAATCTCCTTTTGATTTGCTGTGATTTTAATTGATCCGTCTTAATTCCTTGGTCAGTAAAAATTTGAAGCTCATTCTGTTTTTCATGATTCAAAAAAATGTTGTGTAAATAGTTACAATAGTTTAAATTATTTAACCGATAATTATGTAATTGTGGAAAGCATAAAAGGGGTGTGGAGGAAATGCTGACAATTTTGCATGCATGTGCCAGTTATAGTAATTTTATTTAATTTTCACAGCAGCACCGAGTAGTAGATCCCCCCTCTTATTTTACATATAAAGAAACTGAAGCTCAGAGAGGTGAACTACCCATGGTCCCCATAGCTAGTTACTAAATGGATTTATATTCCCATCACTTGAAACTCCAGAAGCTACTACAAGTGTGTATATCAGTTTTTTAAAACTTAATTGATGCGTAAGATACATGCAAAGAAGGGCAGAGCATGAGCCCAATGAATTACTAAAATAAAACTATTAATTATTTATAATTTGAATGTGTGTATTTAGAATGTAACCACCACTGAGTTAACAACAAAAAAATAATCTTAACACCCAGAGGGCACCCCTCCTGTGCTCTCCCAGTTACCACTCTCCTGCCGTTCCTCCCAAGAGAAGCATTATCATGACCCCATAGATTCATTTTGCTCCGAGTGACAGCAACTTTTAGACAAAATTTGATGTTACTCCTAATTCACGTGTCGTTTTACATTTTCTGTTACCACATCTAGAAAATCAGTGCCAGTTTTTCTTTAAAGAGGCCATCAACTTCATCTTTCTCTGTGGGAAAAATAACTACACATTTTGTAAAATCACATGAACTTACTGCTTTGTGCATCTCTGTTTGGGTAAATAATTGCAATTTCTTGGCTCTTTAGTCCGAGTGACTATAAAGAACTCTTCAAAACTAGTGACCTGTAAATTTGTCACACCAGAATAGAAGTGTAGATATGAGTTCTGCCAAAGGAATTTTGTGGTTATAAATGCTAAGATTTGAAAAATATTTCAATAGGATCATTGTAAGTACTGTTTTCTTTTAGCAAGTGGGTTTTTTTTTTAAGCAATATTTGGCTTAAATATTAGTAGGCTAAATAAATCGCAGTATTTTGAAAAAAAATTAGCTATAGGAATTGTCATTTGATACATAACTCATGAGCACAGTGATCAGCAGCTATAAGCAAATTTTCATCTTGCAAGTAAGTGCCTTCTACTTTATTTGCCCAGGAATGCTGATTTACACCTGAGATAATATCTAGTTTTTTTGACTCCAGACAATATTTAATGTGGATCTTCTACATAAAGGGGAAAAAAGTTCCCTCCTGTATGTATGAAGATAAGACTATTAGTATTTAAGTATTTAAACAAGTTTCTCTTTAAATACTTTTTCATAACTATGAAAGCAGAACACATTTGTTATAGAATGCATGAAATGTGCAAGAAAGTGCAAAGAAAAAAAATCTGATATTTTGTGGTGTTTGTCATTCTGTTCCTCATATATTTGAATGTTTATAATAAAATTGAAATTATAAAATATATTTAGTTTCACAGTCTCATTTTTTCTGTTACCTATAATTTGAATGTGCATATTTAGTATTACATATTTCTTTGAAAACATTAATAGTTGCATAATAACTTCACTCTCATGTACCACTTATTCCTGTTTTTTAAATGGAAACATCTCTTTTTGAGCTGGCGTAGGGTTGGAGCCATACAAGTGAGTGGGAGACATCCAAGATGACTCCCACATTTCTTCTGCAGGTAACTGGGATAGATGGTGTGTCCTTTATTAATACAGGGACCATACAAAGAGGAGCAATTTGCTTGAGGCTAAGAAGAGAGATCTGCATAGAGAGAAGGGTCTATGGATCACCTGCGCTAGATTTTGGTTTTAACCACAGACCAAGGATCTGATATAGCTGCCTTGGAAGATGGCATAGTTGAGAAGGCCAAAGGTAGATCTCCTGGGGAGTATCAGTGGTGGAGGGTTTGGAGGGATGTGCAGAGAAGCATGTGAAAGTAACAGAGCACCAGAATTGGAGAGAAGGTGGCACAGTGGTTGTTAAAAGAAGAAAAAAGCAGGATGAACAGCAGTGTCCCGTGCTGTCTTGTAGAGTTCTGAGAGGAGAACCACTGGCGAGTGTCTTAGATTTGGCAGTTAGTAGGTCATCAATGAGAGGGGCTTCAAGGGGGTAGTGGGGACACAGGGAGGGAATGGCAGGGTGACTGTGTGAGGAAATGTGTGTGGTAGCTAGAGATGGAAGGACAGAGCTGGGCAGATGTGTGGAAGGAGAGTTTTGTGTTCCTGTTGATAAGAGACCTAGGCCGGTGTTTGTGCTGATGAGAGGGTTCCAGCTGAAAGAGTTTGAAGTTGCTGGAGCTGGGGTGGTTGACGATAAAGGACGTGGGGAGACTGAAGGGTTTGGAGCAGAGTGGAGTGCGTAAGCTAGTGTAGGAGGGAGCTGCAGTCTCTGAGAAGGCAGGGGGTAGATGGGAGTAGCTTTTGGTACAGTGGGGGTTGTTGGCAGTTGCTCAGTTTTCTCAAGACGTTGTCCGAGAAGGTAGGAGAGGGCCCTGAGGGCTGTGTCCAGGTTGGGAGTTTCTGTGGTGGGGAGTAGATGGGTGAATGGTCTGTGGCCCAGAGGATGACCGCAGCAGCACTGTGGTTCCACAGATAGGATTTAAGCATGGTTGCCCGAATCCCCACCAAGACTGCAGGTAAGAGAGACGTCTCTGGACTTTGCTTCCTCAGAGAAGCCTTCCCTAATGTCCTAAGTCAAATTTCCTTTTTAAAAAAATTTCTTTATTATAGGTTCTTAAAGCTCTGTTCTTTCTAGTACTGATCTGAGTTGTAGTTTTTCATTTACTTGTTGCAGTTGTTATAATTGTAAATGTTTACTTTCCCAAGTAACGAAAAGCTTGAGGAAAAATATGTCTGATTTTGCTTAAGTACTGTACTATCAGGCCCCTCACAGATACTCAGCAAATGTTGAATGAGTCAAAAACAGTGGTTTTCAACCTTTAGAATCTGCCTCAGCACACCTGTGGGATATGACCTGCTTCCATCTGAACGGTTATTGACTGCCCTGAGCCTTCCCGAGGAAGGGTAGGTGTCAGGTAGTGTGGAATAGTGGCTGATAGACCACTGAATGCCTGGGCTGTTATCCCAGCCCCACATGTCTCACCAACTTCGTGACCTTGGGCAAATTCTTAATTTCTCTGTACCCCAGTGCCCTCCTCTGTAAAGTGGCTAGTCATAGTAGTACCTGCCTCTTTGGGTCATCGTGAGAATTCACAGAAAACTTGTAGAACAGCATGTGACATGCAGAAGTTACTTATTGCTACTAGCAGTTTGAAAACTTTTGAACAGTTTGAAAGTTTTCCCTGAAAACTTTCAGGGAAATTGAGAAGAAATCCCTGCACCGTGATGGCACTCTGAAACAACACCATTCTCGGTCTTGTTGGAGTGTCAGTAAGAAATAGTAGGAAAATCATGTGACTGCAATTGACCCTTGAACAACATCAGTGGCCAGGAATGCCTTACCTTCTGGCAGAGTGGAAAATTCGCGTGTAACTTAGAGCCCTCCATGACCATGATGCTTCCAGATCTTTGGATTCAACCAGCTGCAGATGGTATCGCAGCCGTCCCCAACCTTTTTGGCACCAGGGACCAGTTTCACGGAAAACAGCTTCTCCATGGACTGAGGGATGGAGGAGGGTTTTCAGATGATTCAAACGCATTACATTTATTGTGCACTTTATTACTATTACATCAGCTCCACCTCAGATGGAGTTGCTTGGGGGCTGCTGCTGTATAGTATTTACTACTGAAAAATATCCGTGTGTATGTAAACCCACACAATTCATACCCGTGTTGTTCGAGCGTCAGCTGTGGTCATTTTGGTCGTCCCAGCCTAGCTGTGGGATGAGGGATGAGTGAGTGCTGTCTGTTTACACCTACCGTGGTAAACTTGATTCTTTGTCTCCCTTGCAGAGGAGGTGGCCAAGTTGGAGAAGCACTTGATGCTTCTCCGACAAGAGTATGTCAAGCTGCAGAGGAAATTGGCTGAGACAGAGAAGAGATGCACTCTTTTAGCTGCACAAGCAAAGAAAGAAAGCAGCAATGAGTCCTTCATCAGCCGCCTGTTGACGATCGTGGCTGACCTCTACGAGCAGGAGCAGTATAGGTGAGCTTCTGGCATGGGGCCAGTTTGGGGAAGCAAGCCCTTTGGGTTTCTCTTTTGTTTTCTGCTTATCTCCAGCACAGAGTATGGGTGTCCTGGTGATTGCATCCCTGGTACAGATAGGAATTAGCTTGCAAGTCCAGGGATTCGGGGGAGGAGAAGTCACCTTCTCTTGGGCTGGTCAAAGAAGGCCTCTTGGGGCTACTGGTTAGTGTAGCATGATGGTTGAGGGTGGACTTTGGGGTCACACAGTTCAGCTGGTCACTTACTGGCTATGTGACCTGGAACTGTATGATGTGCCTTAGGCTCCTAATCTATAAAATGGGGATAAGAATACTATTTACCTCAGGGTTATTGAGATGAGATGGTTGAATGGCATCACCAACTCAAAGGACATGAGTAAACTCCAGGAACTGGTGATGGTTGGGGAGGCCTGGCTTGCTGCGGTACGTGGGGTCACACAGTCAGACACGACTGAGCGACTGAACTGAGCTAGGGTTATTGTGTGGATTAAATTAATAAATACTGTTTGAGCACTTAGAAAAACAGTGCCTGGCATATAGTAAGTGCTCAGTTTTTAAGCTACTGTTTCTAAGTGAGTTTTGTGGTAAATGTTAAAGGCTGAGTAGGATTTAATAAAAACAGTAATATCACTAGTAGAGGGAGTGGCTGCGAGCAGATTCACAGATGGGAATGTGTGGAGGATTTAGAGGAGGGGGCCATTTTAGGGTACATATCCATGCAGAGGAGCACTGGAGTGGTGGGAAGGGTAGGGTGGGTTGCATTGGGATGCCAAGGTGAGGAAATTGGACTTGATCCCTTAGGAAGTGTGAAACAGGGTTTTTAAGTTTACGGGATTGTCATAAAGTGGTGTTTCAGGCAGATTAGCCTGGTAGCATCATGTAGGCGAAATTTAAAGAGAACAAGAGCAGAATCAGGCCAGAAGTGATGAAGGACTGAACTGGGATGATGGCTGCAGTTGTGGAAGAGAAACATGGACATGAATGTGTCTGGAAGGATGTGCCTACTAGAGAGGCAAGATTGGAGTAGATGATTTAGTAAAATTTGGAAATAAATCAAGACATTTAAAATAGATCAAAACCCAGAACTGCCATCTACCATCTTAATCGTTTCTAAAAGAAAAGAAAAATTGAATACCAAAAAATGGGAGTTACACACTCAGAGTAAAGGACAGCAGCTACTTGTAAAATATAGGTCACTGTCTTTCTCTTTTTTTCCTCCTCCTCTCTTTCCCACGGATAAGTGAAAACTTTGTTCTCACTGGCTCCAGGAAGCCGACACAGCTCTCTCACTATCCAGGGCTCTTTCCCGTTAGAATTCCCACCATTTACTTTCCCTATTACATAACAGTTGACTGCATTCTTACACTGTATTCCTTCTAAGAGAGTGGGAATAAGACTGGGCAGTTTCCTCTTCAGGCAACTTTCTACCTGGTCAGCTGTGGTGTGGTCCCAGGGTTCTGGTGGGTCTCTCTTCTGCTTCTAAAACCTGTCCTTTTATCAAAAGAAGGCTGAATACCTTTGTTATCTACAACCAGTGATTAGATGGGGAATGGAGACTTTAAAGACGACTTAGCTTTTGAAATGGAATAACTGAAAGTGGGATATCAATTTCTAAAGCAGATTCTCTTTTACCAAGATAAGGAAGGAAAAAAAAAAAACATGTCCCATGAACATGTGTTTTGTTGAAGAATTTAGTGTTTTTATGTGCATTTTAGTAGAGTAACTGGAGAGTTAGTGTTAAATTTTTTTTTTCTTTTTAGTGTTTCTTTTAGTGTTAAATTTAGTTAAATTTAGTGTTAAATTTTTTAAATTGAGCAATGTGGAAGAAATTGGTGCACTTCTTAGCTAAACTTTAGGAGCCCTAGTGGCTCACAGGGTAAAGCGCCTGCCTGAAACGCAGGAGATCAGGGTTCAATCCCTGGGTCAGGAAGATCCCTTAGAGAAGGAAATGGCAACCCACTCCAGTACTCTTGCCTGGAAAATCACATGGACAGAGGAGTCTGGTAGGCTACAGTCCATGGGGTCACAAAGAGTTGGACATGACTTGAGTGGCTTCACTTTCACTTTCTTTAGCTAAAGTTCAGGAGAAGGCTTTTATCTCATAAGATACTAAGAAATGTTGGTTGAAAGTGAAAGTGTTAGTCGTTTTGTAGTTATTTACAACCAAACATAATTTTTCCTGTTGAAGTGTTTGATTAAGACACTCTAGCAAGAAGCTCTTTCTTTATGCTTCCTCTCCAGTGACAACATCCTTGTATCCATATTTTAAAAGGAAGTGCCTTTAAAAGACTAGAATGAAAATTTTTTAAAGATTGCTAGCCTCCCAGTTGTTTCTGCATAGAGTCTTCAAAGACTTGACCTGTCCCAAGTTTCCATTTTTGAATTATATTTTTAAAAAATATTACTATTGGAGACTATTAGTGAAATTCTTATATTTATTTCTCTTTGGGATTCTTGTTTAGTGTCTGACTCTTGCGACCCCCTGGACTGTAGCCCACCAATCTCCTCTTTGACCATGAAATTTCCCAGGCAGCAGTACTGGAGTGGATTGCCATTTCCCTCTCCATCTCTTTGGGATATTAAACTACAAAAGAGAAAAAACTTTGGATTGACATTCGTGAATAATAGTAGGAATTTTATAGACACACTCATTTTTATAATTTTGTGGCTAAACTCAAGATACATGATAGAAATAGTAAGCAGTGACTGTTCATTTACGTTCTTAGAATGTAATACTTTGTAAATACATTCAGAGTTTAAAAGTTATTTGTGCTTTGTTTTCATTATATTTTTTTAACCATATCACAGGATATGATATGAGACAGTTTTATGTTCTGCTTTAAATAGAATGTCAATTCTGTTCTTTATGAATAGTGTTCTGTGTTAACAGTATTAATAAATACCCTATTTTGATCTAAGATAATTAGTTGCAACTTGGTTAGTTCTTTAATAGAGCTAGAATTGTTTATATGCTCACATAATTATAATGTACGTTCTAGACGTTGCTTTTGTGGGGCGAAATGTGTCTGCATCAAGCATCATATAGAAACCATATTCTTGTTTGTGTCTCCTTTTAAGCACATGAGTTAATTTGTGTAAAATTTTTTTTCTTCTTCCTTTTCTCACGTAATAGTTTTTATGTATTTAGTTTCTAAAGGCTTTCCAACCTAACAAGTTATTTTCAAGGGAAATATGCAAGTAGAAAGCCTTACACATACAGGCAAGGGGATGATGATGGGTAACTGTGCATTGCTGCCAACTAGCCATATGGCACATGCTTCTGTCAGCCTATTGGGTCATCCTTAGGTGTTTAACTGCCCCAGATGCTCTCCTACCTTGGCATCTGACATTTCAGAGTTATGTATGAATAACTATTTGGAAAGCTCTTTTCATATAATGATATGTCATATATATGGAAGCAGGTTTGAAAAAAAGGTACGTCACCCCTTTTCTTTATACATGGTTGAGTTAAAAAATGGCCAATATTAGGTCTAAGTGTTTCTGATGAGAACAGGAGTCCAGATGTTGGGTTTCATATTTCATATTCTTGATTGTTTTATCAAAACTAATTTATTTATAGTTTTTGGATTAACCTTGCTTAAGCATTAATATGGTGTGGAGCATCATAGCATGGTAGGCTGAGAACTCTTATCACAGTCTTCAGTCTTTCAGTCTATTTCTCCCTGATGATTTATCTTGATTTTTTTCTACATAAAATCTCTTCTACTTTTATATGAATATTAGTTATCCTTTGTAACTTGTAAGCTGCACCATCGTGGGGGTGACATTAGGGAATGTCTTTGAAAGCAGAGCATCCCATGTGAGCTATAAGCTAGAAGTTAGAAATGGGAAACATGTCTAGCAATGCATTAAAAATATGACCTGTCAGTGCTAGCATAGAGATATACTTTTGCTGTGAATTTTTTTTTTTCCTTTCACATATTTATGTTGGTCAGTTAGTAGTCACATGCTGATTAGCTGTGAATTCCAGCTATACCTAGTTATAATGACATTTTTTCTTTTTGTACCTGTGGGTGTTTTTCTTCATCAGTGACTTGAAGATAAAGGTTGGGAGCAGGCACATCAATGCTCACAAGTTTGTCCTGGCGGCCCGCAGTGACAGCTGGAGTCTGGCCAGTTTGTCTTCCACCGAGGAGTTGGACCTGTCAGGTGAGCCCCTGACCGGCTGGGGACTCAAAACTCCCGGCACATGAGCACTTGGCAGAAGATTATGGTGTGTCACTTTGAAATATTTGTGGCTTAGTGGAAGTAGAATACTTCTTATGAATTGGTGGTGACCATAAACTAGTTAAATAGTCATTAGGTAGTACTTTGTGGACACTTCTGTTTAATATCTGGCTAAAAAATCATAAATATTTGAGGAACTACAATATTCTTATAATTTATAAAATATCTCTGCATATAGCTTTTCATATACTGGTATGTTATAAATGTGAGAGCATATGTAGGAAAAAAATTTATTTCCACTAAGAGAAAGTCCTGCTGCTGTTCAACTGGTTAAAATTTAACCCTAGCTGCCAAAATATTTTTCCTGGTCTGTAAGAACTGAATTCAGAAGTAACAGTTACTGAAAAAATTAAGAATATTCTTTCTTTAAAATCAAAGGATGACCAGCTGTCTTTAGAATTTAAGTGCATTGAACTGTTTAATGTTACTGTTTTTGTGGCACATATATTTTGTAGAATTTGGGTAAATATGGTAGTTAAGTAAACTTAAAAAGATCATTTTCAAAAGTTCATTTCAAAATTGCATTTTCACTTAGTATTTGCCTAACTGCTGCTACAAAAGAGCAAATTTTAAATTTAATTGTGCTGTTAATAATCAAGAGAATTACAAGTCTCCTGTAAATGTGTTACACTTTCATACTAAAAAAATAATAATCAAGACTGATACCATATGGTAAGGAGCATACCCACACATTGAGATATGAGTTACTTGCAGAAGTGATTGGCTGTGTGAAAAGTCTGCTGAATTATGTCTTTGTTAAAAAAATTCATCACCGTGGTTTGATCCCTACTGTAAGTTTGCTTTGAGGAGTGAGCAGCTGCAAAGCCAGACTTTTTGGTGGCTTTGGTAAATCAGGCACCTCCTAAGATACATGTGGTAGAACTTAGGGGGTCTTTACTTTCTTTTATAAAGTCTATCTTTGAAGGGTTCCAGGGTTTCCCAGATAGCTCAGTTGGTAAAGAGTACGCCTGCAGTGCAGGAGACCCCGTTCAATTCCTGAGTCAGGAAGATCCCCTGGAGAAGGGAAAGGCTACTCACTCCAGTATTCTTGGGCTTCCCCAGTGGCTCAGTTGGTAAAGAATCTGCCCGCAATGCGGGAGACCTGGGTTCGATCCCTGGGTTGGGAAGATCCCCTGGAGAAGGGAAAGGCTATCCACTCCAGTACTTTGGCCTGGAGAATTCCATGGACTGTATAATCCATGGGGTCGCAAAGAGTTGGACATGGCTGAGTGACTTTCACTTCACTTGAAGGGTTGCAAGGAGATGGTGGCATCTGTGGACCTGTTCAGGTTTCTGTGTCTTGCACAGTGTCCTGCTGAGTTGCCTGGATGGGCATAGGTGTGATTGCCTAAATTTGGGCTCACGGCAGCTGAAACTACCTAAAAAGCCTGTGTGTTACATGACACCTGGAAGCACTACTGCCTATGGCTGCCTGCAGCTGAGGGAGGTTGGAAATAGGCTCTTGTAAACAAGTGTATAAATAGGGTAAAAGCTGTGTTTTAAATGGTTGAACCTTCTCCCCACTTGTGGGTTTGGCAAAATCATCTTATGGATCTACTGGTGTTCTGTTTCTTCAAAATTATTCCATTAATATCACAACTGCTGAGGGGCAGGCACTTTGGAAGGTACTAGGGATATAGCAGTGAATAAATTCCTGTTTGCGTAGTACTTACATTCTTAGATTGACATCCTAAGCCTCACATTTTCATTTGACATTCTTTTGTAATTGATGTTTCTTAAAATTCAAAATAAGCACAACTTAATTTTTTTAATTAATTAATTTGTTTACCTCATTGCCCCAGGTTTTAGTTGCGGCATACAGGATCTATAGTTGTAGCATGTGGGATCTAGTTCCCTAACCAGGGATCCAAACCGTGCCCCTTGCATTGGGAGCACAGAGTCTTAGCCACTGTACTACCAAGGAAGTCCTAGCACAACTTTATTTTTTTTCTAGCACAACTTTAATTCTGTTATTGTTTTAAGAATTTTAGCCCATGTTGAGGAATATACAATAGGCATTATATACCAACTATTTAAAAGGTATTTGGACATAATGAAAATTTTCTTAAATCATATCTTGTTCAAAAAAGTAAAATGTGTGCTTGATCTGACCCAGTGACAAAGTCACAGTCACTTCTGTAAGATTCTTGCCATAAATGCATGACCTCAATCTAATTGTGAGAAAGCATCAGATTAACCCAAGTTGAGGGACGTTCCACAGAATTACTGGCAACATGAAAGACAAGACTTGGGAATTGTTATAGATTGGAGGAGATTTAGGAGATATGATAATAAAATTCAAGATGGAACCCTCAGTTGGATTCTGAACCATAAAAGGACATTATTGGGATAATTGGCAAAGTTTGTAAAGGTCTGTAATTAGTTAATAGTGTTGTATTGGTCCTAACCACCTGGTTGTAATCATTGTGCCCTGGTTATGCAAGATGCTGATAAGGGAGGATCAGTGGAGGGTATATGGGAACTCTACACCTGTTTTGTGGGTCTGACATTGTTTCAGAATATAAAGATTTAAAAGGTATGAATTTGCCTTATATTTCTTGATTATTTTATATATAAAGATACTGACTGATCAGCTGGGAAGAGAAAGGATATAACCATTAGCGCGACACAGTTCAACAGATCTTGATGCACGATATTTACTTCTTTAGGAAGTAAAGCAGTCTGCTTTCAGGCTCAGTGGTCTGTTTATAGCCTCTCTCCGTCACTTCAGCCTTAGCAGCTGACACTAACCAGTTCCAATGCCATAGAATGGCTGTTGTGAAGCTAGAGTTTCTTGCATGCCTCCTCCAGCAAAGATCTTATGGTTCCCTGGCATGAGTGTTTATGGTGAGTCATTCAGCTTTCCTGGAATGTGTTCTGGGTCCTGTCAAGCCATTCCAAAAACAGAAAGCATCCTCCCTCCTTTTCAGTCCAGTCAGGAAAACTGCACTAAACACAGACCTGGGAGGTTGCACTGTGTTGTGAAAGGAGCATAGGGTCCCCGACTCTGTGCTCAGGCACAGTAAGGTGCTCAGGCAAACTCACAGGACAGTGGTAGTTTACGTTTTCAAGAGAAATTCAGCAATATCTGTTAGATAGTGTGAGAACTACTGGTTCTAGGTTGTTTGGTTTTAGTATTTTGTTGATATCCATGGTAGTTTAAGATGTGTCCATAAATTATCTGATATTCCTCCCTTCCCTGGTGGATCCTGATTCCCCTCCTCTTAGGTACAGGCTGACTAAGCTTGTAAATAATAACATGTTCCTTCAGAGATGCATCTTAGAAGGCATTGTGACTTCTTCCATGCCCTGCCTTGTGGATTGCTCACTTTGGGAGAGGTTAGCTGCTGTGTCATGAGGACACTCAGACGGCCATGTGGCCTCCTGCTAACAGCTGAGGGGACACCCCCCCACCCCCCCCACCCCCCTCACCCCCCCCGCCGAGATTATCTTAGAGCTTCAAGAGATCTGTTTTATCTGTGGTCATGTCCCCTTACTCCGTCCTAACATGGCTTTTGTGTTTTTCGCTCTAATCTCTGGTTATGCTAAATTTGTCTTGTGTGTTAGTTTAAAATAGTCTGTTTCGATAATAATCATAGCAAAGTTTTCTATAGCAGTTACCATGTGGTGGTAGTTTACAGGTATTAACTCTTTTATCTTTAGGATAACACTTTGAGGTAACTACTATTTATTCCCATCTTATTGGTTAACCATATATGCTTCCATCTAGTGGCTAGTGTAAATAAGTTTGCAGTGAATACTGGTGTACAGATATCTCTTCAGGATCCTGCTTTCAGTTCTTTAGAGTATACCAGAAGTGGAATTGCTGGGTCACATAGAATTTCTATTTTAAAATTTTTGAGAAGCTGTTTTCCATAGGGTCTGCACCATTTTGCATGTTCCCCAACAGTGTACTAGGGTTCCAGTTTCACCACATACTCACGCATACTGGTTGTTTACTGTGGTGTGGTTTGTTTTTCTAGAGGTTTGAGGTGCTCTAATCTTGAATCTATAAAGATTTAGGTCTGTCACCATATTTAGAAAGCTGTTGACCGTCATTTCTTAAATACTTTTCTTCCTTGGTCTCTTCTTTCCTTCCGAGACTCCAGTCACACGTATACCGGACTCTCTGTTACTATCCAGCAGGTCTGTTTGAGGACTTTTTTTGTTGTTGTTTTTCCTCCTGACCTTTTTTTTTTTGGTCTATTCTTCAGATAGGATAAATTCTATTGATTTGTCTTCAAGTTTACTGACTTTTTGCACTTGAGCCTGCTCTTGAGCCCACTGAGTAAGTTTTTATTCCATATATTGTATTTTTCATTTCTATAATTTCTGTTTGTTCTTTCTTACAGTTTATATGCTGAGCATTTTTATCTTGTAATTTCAGGTGTGTTTTCCTTTACCTTCTGGAGCATAGTTATATTCAATGTTTTCAGTTCTTTGATAAGTTCAATATCTGGGTCATCTTGAAGTTGGCACATTTTGGTTGTCCTTTCCCTTGAAAAATGGTCATATTTTCCAGATTTTTTCCATAGCAAGTGATTTTAAACTGTATCCTGTACATTGCTTGCCATTATGTTGTGTCGACTCTGGTCCTCTGTGCCATCCTCTGGAAAATGCTGAATCTCCTTAGGTGCCAGTCACAGGTTCTGTTTCACCTTCTGTGGATAGTGGTTCAAATATCACTTCAGTTTTCTTTTTTTTAATGCAGTTTTATTCGTTTATTTTTGGTTGGTCCTGGGTCTTCGTTGCTGTGTGGGCTTTTCTCTAGTTGTGGTGAAAGGGGGCCAGTCTCTAGTCTTCTGGTCTCTAGAAGCCATTGCAGTGGCTTCTCTTGTTGCAGAGCTCGGGCTCTAGGGCACACTGGCTTCCGTAGTTTCAGCACATGGGCTCAGTAATTGTGGCTCCCAGGCTCTAGAGCA